CCGTATTGCCGTATCATCGTATCCCCCTATCTCCGTATCCTCCCTATCGCCCCTATCGCTGTATTCCCGTATCCCCCCCGAACCCCGTATTGCCGTATCATCGTATCCCCCCGAACCCCGTATTGCCGTATCATCGTATCCCCCCTATCTCCGTAGCCCCCCTATCTCCGTAGCCCCCTATACCTGTATCGCCGTATCCTCGTATCCCCTCTATCTCCGGATCTCCCCCCGAACCCCGTATTGCCGTATCATCGTATCCCCCCATCTCCGTAGCCCCCTATCCCCGTATCGCCATACACGCTCGTTTGATTGGTTATAATCGCCCATTATTAAATACTATTATGATAGTATATTAATATTAATACATCCTAGTGTAATGTGGGGTTTCGGGGAGATTGCAAAATGTGCAAAGTGAATAGCAGTTAATCCATTCTCTTAAGACATTCGATTCTGCTGAGGGCTCCAGTTTCGAATCGATTTGACAATATATTGATCTGCAAGATCTCCATCCAAAACAAGCCGTGTTGAAGAAGATTTTGTCTGACAACAAGCCCAATGTATGGAGATACCGTGGCTTCCATCTCTTCGAACTCGTTGAGGGCAACACCGGCTAGAGATTGCTCGAAGCGGATGATCGCCGGCACGGCAGCCGCCCCTTGTTCGACAGTGTAGCCAGCCAACTGCAAAACCCGTCATTGTACACCTTGTCGTCGGCATGGATGGTCGCCCACTTGGAAAGGGTCGTGTAGTACGAGTGACACAGCGAAAGGGGGGGCTGGGCACCCAAGAGGGCGTTCTTGGTCGCGTCGTTTTCGTCGCCACTGGCGGTGATGTCCACGAAGGCAGGGATGCCGTACTTGGCCAAAATGTGTTCCTGGCCGCCATTTTGCAAAACCCGCTCTTTGCCCAGAACTTTGGTGCCATCGCGATGGTCATCTGTGACACGTATTCACGCACGGGTTCGACAACTACGGTTCCACAACTAATTCCCGTCGCAGTACACGGAAGAAGCAGATGCACGTTATTCTACTTGTCGTTCGCCCAAGCCTCGTGCTCCAAGAACACGGATGCCCGCCTCGCGAATCATTTGCCGGACCCGCACCCGCCCGGTCGGTTCCGCGTGACAGGGGTGTTGCAAAACAACGCTGAGTTTGCCCGTGTGTTCCAGTGCCCCACCGACTCGTACTTGAACCCGTCCAAGAAATGTTTGTGGGAATAGGGTTGATAGATACGAATATATGTAGCATTGTGATTTGGTAAGGAAAAACTAAGTAAACGATGTCTTGGTTTCCTCGCCACTCATGTCGGCTTGGCCGCTCCTGCTGTCCATGCAGTCCAACTTGAACCTTTCCCTCCTCGCTCCAACAAATGATTTGACCAATCGACTTGGCGGATATATCGTCGGTCGCATCCTACGTACCAACATTGCAAGCCCAACGTCGACACCTCCACTACTGTGACATCGTCGGCTTTGTCCCCGAAGTGTGCGAGGACGCTGCAGTTTAGAATAATTACAACAGTACCAAAACCTGCTCTCCTAAGTTAAATGCTCAAGACACGGATTGTATTTTCAAATATACTAAGAACATGGAGGGCCGATCGAAGCACGTTGACCAAGCTACGATCACCACATAGTTCCAAGCGGTGGTCAATACCCGTGGAGCAAAGAACTGTAGACCGGGGGAGGGGACGCTTGAAGTTTATGAGCTAAGCAGCGCATGCACAGCGGCAAGAACGGCGCGGCGGCGCTCAAGTCGGCGTTTCGGGGTTTCGGGGCGTGGTGCACAAACTGGAGGGCATCGAAGTGGTCCCCCCTACGGCTATTGGCCACGGCTTGGAGCTCGGTAGCGATCATATCTTGGTCAACGTGTTTCGATCAACCGTCCACGTCCTTGGTATATTTGAAAATGCAATCCGTGTCTTGGACATTTAACTTAGGAGGGCGGAGTTTCTACCTGTTAGCCATAGGCAGACAAGGATTGAAGTTACATAGATAAAGCTATATATATTAGATTGAAGCTGGAAGAGCTCCAGGTTTCATATCCCTTGACCACTTTGGTATGTCGAGGGCCAATAGCTGAATTGTTTTGATCCTACACACACTACTTGAAGGTTGCACATGTTGAGAGACATGGCAAACTTCAATTAGTGATGCTAAGGTTGTCCAATGAAAATGCGCCAACAATGCATATCTTTCGACCGCTCGTCCTGGTGCACATAATGGACACTAACAGCCTTACCGATCATGAGTCCATGAGCCGATCTCTAAAAAGGTTCATAGGTCTTTCTGCAGCGCCATACAGAACACGCATCCACAGCCATTGCTAGTTAGCATAGCTTCCCTAACTACACTCTCACACAGACAGATTTTGATGCCGGCTCAAGCAGTTTACAGAAATGAAATACTGTACTTCTAGTAAGAAGTACTGTACTACTTAATCTAAGTTATTTTTTACTCTGAGGCATCTACTCCAAGCAAGCCCAGTTAGTCATGTATTTCATTTGAGCCAATCGGATGGCCTACTTGGCCCTTGGTCAGAAGAAGGCGGTTTAGCAGCGCTGGGCAGCACGACCCGAACTCTTGACGAGGTTGCGGCCCTGGATAGGCGCCAATGCGAGTGAGGTCGCTGCCCCCGCAACTGACGCCTGCAGGGACGTGGAAGGTGCCCGGCACGCCGAGGACGCTGACGTCGGTGGCGCTCACAGACGCAGGAAGGGTCGTCGCGAGGGCGGCCAGGACGGAGAACAAGACATTGGAGTTCATGGTGCTACCTTTTGCATCGTTTGGAAGGACGCTTCATTTGTGTGACGTTTTGACCAAGGACCAAGTTGGCCATTCGATTGACTCAAATGTGAAACCGATAATTAATCGATTGCCAATCACATTGCCACAAATACAGTACATCGTGGGTGTGTATGGGCTCTGCCTGGTGCTGCCTTTTGCATCAAGGACGCTTCGTTTGTGTGACGATTTGACCCAAGGCAAGTGAAACGCAAGTACACCTCAAGGTAGGAAATACTCTGATTGGCTGAAAAGTTAATGGATAGCCAATGACTGATCACATTCGGTATTCTAGCATTGCTTCGGCAAAAAATCAGTCACAAATCTTGGAATACAAGTAGTTGTAGGCAATGCCGAGCGCGTTCTGTCGCTTAGAAGTGTGACAGGAAGCAGACCTGGTTCTGCATTAAAGTTACTGAATACTAGTATTGATTGACTGTGAGAATGACTAGCACTTGTCGATTTTCACATGCCGCGACGGGGGAGCAGCCTATAACACTACGAGCACTACATGACGACGTCATTGTATCCGCTGATAAGGCAGGTCTTGGTCCTCATGTGGTTGAATATGAGAGTCTCGGCGGACGAGAATTTGTAGATTTACATTAACCAGAAAAAGCAAGGTGAAATAGGCAATTTTGTATGGATCGCAAGGTGAACCAACTTGCGAATTCCATAAATAATTCTGGTTTCAATTAAATATATCTTCAAGTTTGTAATTTTAATTTTTCGTGTGCCTGTCTCTTTTGGAATTCGCAAGGCAGGTCACGTTGCGAATTCGAAATTGTCCAATTTTGTCCAATCACATGCCGTAAAATCACGAAAATCGCTGCGTAGATTTATCACGCCCTGTTGCGATATATTCTTCTCCTGTGGTGGCGGTTGATGCAAGGAGCCTTGAGATAATTGTAGGCTGTGTATGATAGCAAAATCATGTGATGTGGTGTTCAGAACTCGGCCAATTCTAACAGGTCTCATTTCACCACGTGCCTAGTAACCCAATGAAATTGGTCATCCCTCATTCCACTATCCAGCCCGTGTCGGTGCCGTACACCTCCCTGCCGGTGTGATCACGTGGTTGCGCGGGCGGTGGCGCAAGACGTCTTGGTGGCACCATCGCAAGTGCTGAAGTGGCGGCTTTAGCACTTTGCGTTTGCGATGGGTGCTACCTAGACCTCTTGCGCCACCGAGTTGGCCCACCAGAGCCACCACGACATTGCGACCCAACCGAGCGCACAACATAATGTTAGCTGTAAGGGGAGAACCACATTGGACATAGTCGGAGTGCACTCATCAGTGCACAATTCTCTAGAGCAGCATCACACAAAGCTCTACAAAATTCAACCTCTTCTGACAGTGTAATAGCCAATCGTGTGTAAGAAACAAGGTGTGATGGACTCTGATTGGATATTAAAACGGAACAACTTGGGAATTCCAAGTCATCAAAACGTTATGTGATTTATATATGGAAGCAAATATAAATTTAGCAAAGTTGGTGAACTTGGATACTAGTATTATATTTGCGACAGCCATTTTCAAAGGCACAACATGGACTAAAGTAAACCGATCAGCCCGAGACTCAGTTCGCGTGTTCACAAGCGTTTTCTCTACAATATGACGCTTTATACAGGTTTCTACGAGCTGTATCCATCGAATTATTTACTTGCAAAGTGAATATATTTGCGTTTTTGGCTCCTTTGACGATTCGTCACTCATGTACGAGGCTGCAATCGCCACATCTAGTCTTGAACGATATCTCGCAACATTCTGCAATATATATATAATTGTATCGCTCGTAGACATGCCGTCCGAGTGCAATTCGATGTCAAGTCATATGAGGCAATGTTGTATGATTGCATTAACGTAGATGGCCAATTTATG